GGAATGACAAGGAGACGGCTGCCAGAGGAGCGCAGGGACCGCGAGGGTTCATATGGTAAAAGCAGCTGTGAAGGATAAGACGGGCCAATACCGTTAAGACACTTAAAAACCATTAAAAGTATCTTAAAATCGATCCTGAAACATACGGGGAGCCCATGCAGTTTGGTGCTTACTTTTTGACATGATGTCACTTATTTTTACTTCCCATCTGCTCTTTCCTCTCAGACAGCGTTTTGCTTTAGGAAGTCACTGTGGTTAAAAGTTAAAGTAAACCTCTTTCATCACAATAAAATATTTTCCATTTCAGTCCCAACTGTTTACCTGAAAACATGACATTTAACAATTCTGCAGCCTTTAAATATTTTTGGACACAATATTGGTTATAACTGGACGTGCATTTCTGTTACTGCTGGGAAAAATAATGGTGATGTCCAAAACTAGACATTTGTTTTGACTTGAAGAAAGTTGAGCTGAGAAGTTAAATGAGATCTTCAGGAAAAGGTGGAATACTGGTTATTTGTGTTATAATTACCAACGTTTGCAGCTGAAGGATTCATGCAGGTGTGCATTTGATTCTGTAAAAGTAATTGCACATCTGTGATGCTTGACATTATTTGTCTATATGATTTAACAGTTTGTCTTTGCAAGCAGCCCTACAAGTGTTCTCTAGTGCCACCAGCTGGCCAGACATTCTAATTGCAGCCTTTTTGCTGGTGGGGCAGTAGCCTGTTTGGATTGATTTGGTTTGTGGAGATGAATTCAAAAGGCTTTTCTTATTATTAAATGAAACAACATGAAACATGTAAAGACTGGTGTTGACTTCAGAGCCCCCCGCGCCCTTTTTTCCTCCCTGAATTAAATTTAACGTTTTTCACCACCTTGGCCACACAACGCTCTCCCATCTCCTCTGAAGCCCAACATCCGCATTAACATCTTAATAGTAAAGTGTGTTAAAGCACAACTCTTGCAGCCTGACAAGAAGTGAATTGGATGTCAGAAGGATTCCTGCTCAGTTTAATTGAATCTGCTCAGTATTAAAAAAGTCCAAATAACCTGTTAGATCTATCAGGTAATGTTCTGTTGAGTTTGACAGGTAGAACAGCACTGCCCTCCCCACTCCTTACGGCAGTCCTACAGGTTGAGTGATGCTGGTGTGAAGGGACTGGTGGAAGCTGATGATTTCTGCGATTTGTTAATCAGTTTTGGTCTGTCTCTTTGTTTTCTGAAGCTGTGAAAGCCTCCAGTGGAGAACTGGAAATGGGCTCTTTGAGTGAGTTAGCAAAGCTAATGAACAGTGGGGGTTAAAGCTGTGCTTCACAGCTGTTCTTTGGCCATTGTGCATCATCTTTTGTAAGAAACGATGGAAATGGGATTGGTTTTAGGGTGGAATAAATAGGCTAAAATCACAATATTTGCTAATGACTAGAAAGTTTGCTGCCTATCGTCGTTCTTCTTCAGTCATGGTTGTAACGCATTGGCATCGTCTGACTTCTTCCCCAAGACGTTCTCCAATCAGCCCCGTGTCTGCCTCAAGATATTTGGCACTTCTTGGCACGTCTTCGTCACCCTCTGCAGGGCCGCTGCGGAGCCCTTGCATCGACGCATCATGGCGTTGCGTCTCTCCATATCCAAGCTGATGAAGTATAGATTTCCTTTGCCACCAGTGGTAAAAATGTGTGTAAAACTACTTTCTGAGCGTTTGATTGGAATACCTTCTGGCAGATAATTTCACTGTAAACCCAAATGTTGAAAATAATCAAATATATTGAGTAGGTGACACACATAGAACTCAAACGTTTTTATTTATCTGAAAAAAAATTTTTTGAGAGCATAACTGAAATAAATCAATAAAGAACAACTTAACTTGAATGAGTAATATAAACTAAAAATTATAATTTATAATTTTATGTTTCTACATTATTTTATTAATCTTTATGTCATCTTAAAGTGTCTGATAAACAGTTATATATTTCTTAAAATATTTGTGGATCTATAAGAAAAACAAGCATAAACAAGCAATTTTGGTTTATTTCAGGCACAACAAATAACTGGTGGGTGAGGTACATTGTGGTTAGTTTTTTTTTGTTTGTTGTTGTTATTTTGTTCTATTTTGGGGTGTTTATGCATGTTAATTGTGAGGCATTGTTGTTCTTAGTTATTACTTCATTCAGTGCTGAAATTGTGGTGTTACTTTTTGTATCATGTTGGCACCATAAGTGAGGAGGTTGGTCAAAGGAATGACCACCCTGTGCCGTTCCACTGTCATTAAAACTGTGGTGGTTCACACTGGATGTTCTTGACTTTCACTCACTGGCTGGGTGTGCGAATCATGTGCTGATAGCAACTTATCTCGGTTACTGTAGTACAACTTTTTTTTTGAGTTATGTCAACTTGTCAAATTTGAGTAAAAAATATGAACATTTTGAGTATATTTTCCAAATGAGTTGAAAAATGTTGAAAATCTTGAGTGAATGACTCCCTAATTATAAGATGAGGAACATCAATATTTATAAGATAACACTGTTATAATTTAGGGCAAATGTAATTTATATTTTCTGTAAACTTAAAATATTGAAAAACATCACTTGAATATTTTTGTGTAATCTGTTGCAAAATAATTTTTGAGTTCTGTGAACTTATTAAGGTTTACAGTGTAGAACGTTATCACCCGATCACATCTTTATGCTCTGAGCCACATGAGTCTTCTGCTCTTCGTCAGCCTGGCTCTTCTGGAGGGGTTTGTTTAGAAAGTGTCCCTGAAGGACAAATGCATCTTAGTTTGAGAGTTTGTCCTGGGTCCCTTCACCTGATCCATGACTTTCACAGAGTATGAATGTCAAGAGCGTAGAGGCACGCGTAACTGTGTTTACGCTCTACACGTGTGTGATATGTTACGTTCAACCAAGCGGCGGCAAAGAATAACGAGATTTTTTCACGAGTGGAAATTCTTATGACGGCGTTCACAGAAGTAGCAGGAAAATAGGATTTACACGAGCTTACACTCCTTCCTGTGCGTGTTGTGTTAGCTTTGTAGCACAGCTAACAGCGGTTTAACAATCCCTTGAGTCATTGTTCCACTTGTCAATGAAGCAAGGCCTCATGGGATTGTTTGTGTTCTGGTTATTGATTTTTGCCAGGTGGTAACAAGTGAGGCAGATGTTGGTTGCAGAGAGTTTAACATCTGGGTCGCTGAGGAATTCTGATGAATGAGGACCACAATAGAGCGAGTTTCTCTGCCAATGAGTTTCTACAAGAATGGAAATTTGTTTTTGTTCAGAGATGAAGAGAAAAAAAACACAACTTAACTGTGTATAGTTTTCTGGGGAGTCATTTTCTAGAATGCATCTCTCTGAATAGGCAACTCAGACATAAACCGCCTTACTGTAGGCCTAATTATAGTAATGGACCTCTCTGATGAAAAAGCCACGTTAAGCCGGTAAAATCAGTTTCTGACCTCTACATCTTGTACATTCCTTTAAAAACATCAAGTCCTAAGGATCTCATTACTGCAGGTGGTTATATAATCATATCATTACTTTTAACCAGTTAACTGGCAGGTCAGCCACTTGGTGGAGCATATTTTCATCTGCACGTCTCACAGAAGCATGCACTAAACTTAACTGAGTAAAAATGGACTAAATCATTGGGTGATTTTTCAATAAAACCTAAATATTATTAAATTCTATCATCATTACTATGAATGTATTCATTGATGTTATATTATAATCCTCCGGGGTGGTGGTGGCAGAGGAGATATGTGCCTGCCTCAAAGCTGGAGGGTTGTGGGATCGAGTCCCACTCAGGCTGTCGCAGTCGGTGTGTCCTTGAGCAAGACACTTCACCTGCTGGTGGTGGTTGTAAAGCACCTTGGGCGGTTGTACAACCCTAGTCATTTACCCTTTATTTATCATAACACCGGCCTATAATAAAAAAAAAAAATAGATGTTGAACTTTATCGGACCATCCCAGATTTTTTTACCGGACCTTTCCGGTACACACGAGGTCGGCCAGAAGGACCATTTCCCATCCCGTTTCAGGGACCGACCTTGGATAGGGGATCAGAAATGAGCCAGCAGAGCCACTTGTGGTGAGCTCTTGCTGAATGGAAGTTACTCAGCAGGAAGTGTTAACAGCAGGTGTTTCCAAATTAACACATTTGCTGCTGAAGTGGAATGAAAGGAAAATAAATTTAATAGTGTTGACGCTGCTTTAAAATCACAATTTCTAAACTCACAACAGTAAACAATGTGGTGGAAATCCCTCCACAACAATGTAATTTACACTGTTTTAAGGTCTCCTCCAAAGTGCTGCTACTTACGTCACACAGCTGGTCTCCCAGGTCACCTGAACGGCGTAAAACGCAGCGTATTTTGATGGAATAATTCATTTTAAAGTTATTAATGTCCGGGGACTCCTTTTGGCGCTGATCAGTGGTATACTGTACTGAAATCTTAGTAAACGCTTTCTAAGGGCTGATTTTGTACGGAGACACAACAGCATAGCAGATCGAGCCATCGTATTTTCCCTATTTCCAGAATTTTCCCAGAATTCCTGTAGATAAAATGCGGTAATAGACTAATAAAAGATCACAAAAATGACCTCCTGGCTGACTTTTTTGTTGCTAAAGACAAAAAAAATCTTTGATTGCAAACATCTTCATGACTCAGACGTCATTCTGAGAAAAAAGTTTTAAATTATTTTGTGTGAAGCAGACATTCGTGCCGTCCGACAAGCAGCTCTAAATTTACTGAGGTCTGTGGGTTAGGCCCGCGGCTGCAGAGGACCCACGTCAGTCATGTCTTGGTGTTGTTAAAGCGGCGGATTTTAGGCACTGCAAGCTTCCTGCATTAGGTGTAATCTACATCTCTATCACACTTCGCTGTCAGACATCCCCATAGGGGTTTGGCAGCTGATTGCTATTCCCACTATGTCACTGGCAGTTTTAACAGTTCTGGTCCCTACATTGATTTTCCTTTTTTTTCTCCTTCTTTTTCTCACAGACTCACGAGCTGGAGAAGGAGCGCCCAGAACGGTGGACCATGCAGTTATTGGAGGAGTTGTGGCCGTGGTCGTCTTCGCCATGCTCTGCCTCCTCATCGTATTGGGTCGCTACTTTGCGAGACACAAAGGTAAACCGGATTGTACGGCTGATGAAGTTTGTACTCCAGTGATAGATGATCAAAATGTATCTACAACAGACGGGCAGTAACTAAAAGTCACGTCTTCATGAATGAAATGGGGGGAAATCCATCATGGGCCTGAAAGATAAATCATCTTTCAGCTTATCACCGACTGTGTGGCAATTTTTCAGCTAATAGTTGTTTGATGATCACCTTGTTGGCGCTAAAATAATATTTCATGTCAGATTTTGTATTCTTTCTTATTTTTCTTTGATTCAGCTAACAAAATGGAGACAAACCTTGTGACCATCTACGGGTAATAAATTGCCTAAAGATCCAAATGGCGACACAAAATCAGCTCATTTATTGAGTTTCGGAACTGTTTTAGGCCTGAATGTTTCATAAATCAGAAATAAGGGTGATTTTTTTGCCATTTTAATGTGTGGATGTTTTGTGTACACGTGATAAATCATTTTTCAAACAGTTGCTTTTTGCAGAAATAGTCCTGCATGACTGACAACTAGTCCAAAGTGCATTTCTGCTGTTTTGAATCATCTATAATCTCTGAAATGTTTTAGTAGTTCATTCAATTTTAGTTTAGAAACATTGATACTGTTATTTAAACAACAAAAAAGAAGGAATTGTACCAGGTGTATTTCCTTTATCTCCATCAAAAGTGCCATCTTTCTGATTTTCACTCATCAGAATGATTGTATAATCAAATGTCAAGTACCTTTAAAGGTTTCTGACATTATATTGTATAAAATGTTGTAGAATTAATGAGATTTAAGCTTTTTAAAACTGCAGCAACACACTATTTTAGTTTTGTTCAACTACTCATTAGCTGTTGATGTGGCTTTTATTTCTCTGAACAGAGGCTGTTCAAAAAGCTCTATGACACAAAACATGACAATTATCCAGATTATACAATCTAGAGACACTTCAACCTCTAAACAGAACTAGAATGATTTATTCTGTTCACATTAGACCTATTTTTATTTATTTATTTTTATTTATGACACCGGATTTTAATTTTGATAAAATTATTTTAATGTAATTAAAGACCAATATCTTATGTTTTATTGTTAAACTTGAACTTCTAAATAATAAAAATGACAAAGGTGGCGTTGTGGTCAAGCTAATTAAAAGAAAATTGGGAGAAATTAGGATTTCACATTAAAACGCTTGGGTCTCAGGAGCAAATACGTTTTTAAAAATGCCTTCAAAATTAAATTCAACATTTATCTGAATATTTAAAAAATTGAAAAGCAGCCAAAGATTTTCAAATATTGTAAAAAAATATAAATATAATAAATAACAATTATGTCTGACTTTTTCAAAGTAAAATTGTTAAAGGTTCAATGTGTAAGAATGAAATAAGAATGACATCAAATTTGGTTTCTGCAGCCCATTTTTCTAAACATAACGTCACTTTCTCTCTGCCGTTCCATGAGTTTCATGGCTGTTAAAAGTTACTGAGCAGCACCAGAAGATTCTAGATGACAAGACAAGTAATTCACAGTAACTTGATAAGTATATAGATTGTCATATCTGGTGTTGGCACTCATGGATGTTTTACGGTAGGAGGCACTTACTTCACTAATTATGGTAATCATTTTTTGACATTAGAAATGCAGGTTTTTTTCGCCACTTTGCTGTTAGCTTGCTGTTAGCTTGCTGTTATGGTGAGCCTAAGTCACGCTCATCTACTTCTGGACCATGGGTCCCCTACTGTAAAAAAAACAAAAAATGAATGGGAGTCTACGGGCCAATAAAAGTAATTTTCTGATTCTTTTGATATGTGCCATGGTTTTCACATATGATATCTGTGAATTTTAAAGATACATTTTGATGCCAAGAAAGTACCTATTTTTGCCAGGCAGCATTTTAGGTTTTGTGTGAAAAGATGTGGAGAACTTCAAGCTGCTCACCAAATTGATATTAATCCTTTAAAGGGACTTTACGGACTTTTGAATTTTTATGCTCGTGATTGCCCCCTCAGGCTTAAAGTGTAACGGCAGCTTCAATAGTAGGCTCGTGCACGAGGCGCGCATGCTGTACGTGCACACTCCTTAACGAAAATAACAGCTGAGACAGTCCCTTGTGTGTGTGTGTGTGTGTGTGTGTGTGTGTGTGTGTGTGTGTGTGTGTGTGTGTGTGTGTGTGTGTGTGTGTGTGTGTGTGTGTGTGTGTGGCCCGGAGGACAGAGGACAGGAGAACGTGCAGCTAATTAATTAAATAATTTGGTTCTGTACCTTTCTCTTCAGCACAGCCGACAAAGGTTTATGATGGGTCAGTCCTCCTGCATGCTCACATCATTCCATTCCCTTGCTTGAAAAATTGTTCCAAAATGAAGGTTGAACCCACATCTTTTTTATCTGTGAATTCAATGCCGTTCGGCGAGTCTCAAATAAAAATTTGGGCATCTTACTGTAAAAAAAATCACACCCAGAATCGAACCCAGGTCTTCTGCATGGGAGTCAGACCTTTTACAAGGTGAGCTACACTCTAGTAACATTTACAGTATCTGTAACTTTTATATCCTTGATGACAGCTGAAACAACGTCAATCCAAAGAACGGTTTGGAGCGAAAATGGCTGTTTTGTTGCTAATTAGCAGGAAATATCTAGAAGAAAGTTCTACAGAAAGTAGCTAAGGGTCCTCAGAAATGTAGCTAGCTTTGTCACTAGGCGTTAGGAACAGCGACAAAGTGGCACTGCCTCTCTCTCTGCTGCTAAAGCTACGGATAGCAAATGCTACGGGCGATGCCTGAGCGTGAACACGCATGAAGCAGCCTGCTCGACCCGAGCATCTCTCTTTTTCTGTGGTTTTACAGAAAAACAGGCAATCACAGTAAAAATGCCAGGGCTCATTCTACAGGACCAGGGCATTGCAGGAGAATGTATGAAGAAGACATTTATTATTTCTATACATGATTTGGCTGTCACACTTCCATAACGCCCCTTTAAGGCACTTTGGAGTCCTCTGGCTCAGAAAGGCACTATACAAGAGCGGGTCATTTATCGTTATCATTTATCACACCTTCTTAGGGTACAAGAAATAACTTCTGGGTCGCTCCTGCATGCTGGCTTTAGTACTTTAAACAACTCTGGAGCTTTTTACCTGCCGGTGTTTAATTACAAATGCCTGCGCTGCAGCCCTCGCTCGGCACAGATTCTCTTACCTCATGGGCTCAAACATTGTTAACTACGTCCCTTTTTAGGTCATTTTTTAAAGAAGAAAAAGTGACAACCCTCCAGCCAGCTGAGGATGAAATCTCTGTCAGTGTAACCTACGTTCCAACATGACTGAGACGTTAGAATGTTTTGTGTTTTTGTTTAACTGTAGAATTCTTACATGCTGCTCCTTTAAATTCTCACAATTACTACGTTTTATTCTAAAATCCTATTTATCTTTTTTTAAAGTTGCTGCATTTTTCAGGTCGTCGGTGTCCTCTAGAGGTGTTTGTTCTTTGTTCCCTTTGCTTCTGTGAGAACTTCTCATTACATCATTAGTAGGATGTGAGCCAAATGATGAGGGGACAGCTATTAAGGCTCCGGGTTACTGATGATGAGTAAAACTACATTTTTCTAGCAGTCCTGATGAAAAGTATGACGACTCTTGTGTGCCGCCGTCATAACAGCAGAATAATTACAACCCATACAGATTTTCACACTTTCATGTTTCTCAACGGGAGAAAATTAAGCTGCGTGCATTAAACAGGAGAGGAAATGTTTTCCTTATTTTATGGTTAGTTTCTGTCCATAAGTTGTCCTAAACGCGTGGTTTTGTACCCAACGCTCTGAGTCAGAGGGGGTTTATGAAGGCACCTCTGGTAGTTTGAAACTGGGGTGGACTGTTCAGCTGACCCAGGCGTTAATCATTTGCTGTCAGCATGACCTTCTCATTCAGCGCTGATTAAGTTTGTGTCACCTCCAGCTGTCACAACGAGACCTTCTGCTGAAGTTAAGCTGCAACCCGTCAAATTAAACTAGATCAGCAAATAGAAATGTCCGGTTGTTTGTACTCATTAGAGTTCATCTGAGTTTCAATTCTAGTTTGGGGTTTTCCAGTTTCAGGTATTTTTGGTGATTAGTTGGTTTATGTTCACTGGATCTTCTTCTCCTTCTTCTTCTTCTTGTATTCTTTGGTGGTTGGAAAACAACTTGATGCGTTACTGCCACCAACTGACTGAATGTAAATAAGGATTCAAACATCTCCACGAAGAAAAACAAAGATAAATTAAAGCTGCAAGCAGCGTCGTTCGGCCCTCGCAGCTCCGCGCCGCTCCGGCCTGGCCGGCAGCCCGGGGCACCAGGGCACATCCGGCGGAACAGAAACGTCGACCACCCCGACACCAGAAACCACGAACAGTCTCCTCGTCCGCACCTCACCCTGACTCAGCATCCCCTCTGAGCCCACCATTAATGACACGTCTCATCACTAGGGGATACTCTATCTTTACCACACTGGTGGTGTGACGACACAGACCAACTTTAATACTATTCCGACCACGTTTTTTGAAGTTATTGAAGGTTAAATTAATGTAGGGGGCGCTGTGACCAACCACAGAAAAATCCCATTGAGGTCAGCTTTAGATGACAAAGATGGTTTTCTGTTATTTTGGCATCAATCAGACGTTGCATGGGTCATCTAGAGACTAAAGGCTGTAAGTGGGCGGAGTTAAAGTGATTTGAACAAGTGAGCACATACATGTGTTGATTGCAGTTGTGTGATGACTCCCACCATGTTTGATATAGTTTGGAGCTTTTTTGCAGAAGTTAAAATGTTATATTGTATCTAGAGGGCGCTGTCCCAAATTTAGGAAATTTTCCATGAAGAAGTTTGTAGGTTGATAAGTCATTTGTGTGCAGTTTGGTGTGAATTGCATCATGCATGTGTTATTCAGGGCCTAATATCTGTCAGGGGGCGGAGCTAAAGCAATATCAACCAATTACCACAGCATTAAGTTGGGTGCCTTTGTGAGATGACACATAGCAAGTTTGGTGCAGTTACGACCTCGTCTGTAGGAGGTATTACAGATTTAAGGGGGTGCTGTGGTGATATTATACAAAGTTCACCAACCATTTGTGCCTCGTTGGCTAAAGGGCATGATTGGTCATTGCCATGTTTAGTCTCAGGCAGATCGGAGGCTGATTGTGGAAGTTAAAGTCAAACGTAAGGTCACGGCTTCACGCCATGGCATCAAAGCCCCTCCCTATCTGGAAAGCTATCAGATCTGAATGGTCTTTACAGCATCGTGCATGACCTTAGTGTCATGTTGACTAAATTAGAGGGGACAAATATGGACATTTCACCATAAAACAATAGACTTCCTGTAGTCAGGGGTGGGGCTTAGGTGATGTCAGCTGTCCACATTGTCATTGTCTTCAGATGTGGTCAATGATCACACAAAGTTTGATATAGATCTGATCATGCACATGGGAGTTATTACGTCAATAATGTAATGGTGAAAGGTCAAAGTTTGAGGCTTAGCCACGCCCACACCTTTCAACTTTTGAAAAATCTGACACTTGAATTTTTTCCCCTTTGTCTTAAGAGTACATAGCAGAAGTTTGAAGGCGATTGGTGAAAAGGACGACGGGGCATCATTCTCCAAACAACGTGTGCGAAAACCACTAAATCGAGTACTTGGACCAAAATGGCCGACTTCCTGTGCGAATTTGTGCTTGGCTCCACGAGACTTTTTTGTAGGTCCTGAGACACCACATCAGTGTACCAAATTTCGTAATCCTCAGTCAAAGCATGGCTTGACGCTGACAGTTTAAATGTCTCTAGGGGGCGCTATTTCAGAATATAGGCCACGCCCACAAACTTCAGCTGTCTATTTCTTTTGGGGGTCAGAGTAGGATCACTCCCCAGAAGTTTCGTGGCGATATCACGATAACTGAAAAAATGAGAGGCAAACGTATTTCCATGGCGTGATGGCAATTTTCGCCATGCTCCCAAAGCCCCACCTTTTTTTGACACCTGCCAGTACTGGAGACCAAGTGACCTCAAGTTGTCTACTGCTATTTGCCAGAGATTCCTGGTGATTGGGTAAAAGGAGTCCAATAGGGAGCTGTGAAAAAAGAGTGGTGTGGCAACAGGTCAAAGTTTGAGGCTTAGCCATGCCCACACCTTTCAACTTTTGAAAAATCCGACAGTTGAATTTTCCCCCCTATGTCTTAAGAGTATATAGCAGAAGTTTGAAGGTGATTGGTGAAAAGGACGACGGGGCATCATTCTCCAAACAACGTGTGCGAAAACCACTAAATAGAGTACTTGGACCAAAATGGCTGACCTCCTGTGCGACTTTGCGCTTGACTCCAAGAGACTTTTTTGTAGGTCCTGAGACACCACATTAGTGTACCAAATTTCATGATGCTCAGTCAAAGCATGGCTTGGGGCTGACAGTTTTAATGGTCCTAGGGGGCGCTATTTCTGAAAATAGGCCACGCCCACCGGATTTTCACATCAGATTTTTTGGGGGGCCGGACTAGGATCACTCACCACAAGTTTTGTGGCGATATCTTTAGAAGTGACGAAATGGGAGGCAAACGTAAGGTCACGGCGGTATGCCTGACTTCGCCGCTCCTCCACAGCCCCGCCCACTACAGAAAACTCCCATAAAGTGCCGCCAAGCAACCCCCACTTGTCTTGAGTTACCAGCTACAAATTTGTGGTGATTAACTTAAATGGGGCGATTTGGGACCTGTCACAGTAAAACTTGACCTTTTTGGTCCTGAGGGGGCGGGGCTTGTGTGATGTCATCGTCCGACCATTCAGTTTAGTTTGTGGGTGGATGACGAACGACCACAGAAATTTATGTAACTCTGTTCCATTCAGTTATGAAGTTATTGCAATTTATATTTTTTTTGGCAAGTAGTCAAACTTCGAGGCCTGGCCCCGCCCTTTCAACATACACGAAAACTCAGAATCCTTGTCTCATTTTGTTCGCCCATCCCTTCTGAGCAATTTTACACAATATTTGAGACGATCGTGGGAAAAATGATCGAGCAATCCAATCAGAAACGGACCCTAAAAACGGCCAATACGGCTCAAAATCGCCATTTAAACCCAAAATGGCCGACTTCCTGTTTGATATTGACCAAGGTTGCAAGATACTTTTCTGTGCGGACTATTGAGTACTGCAAGTGTACAAAATTTCATAACTGTACGATAAACTAAGCTTTATGGAGAGGGGTATTTTTCACTTTGTAGGGGGCGCTGTTCAGCCATTTTCTTTGCGATTTTTTTGTGACCTTTAAAATATCAAATTTTTCACCAGGCCTGACAAGTTTGCAAAATATTTGGAGTTTTGGGGTATGATAAGGTCCCCAAAAAGCCGTTCAAAGCAGGCTAAGAATAACAAAAATAAACAGCAAAAACAAGAGGCCTTCGCAGCGCTTTCGCTGCTCAGGCCTAATGAAACAATAATTAGAGGAATAAAGTCTTTTTCATTAAGATTGCTAATGAGGATATTACCAGAATGTCATTATTTACAGTTCTGACTGGAGCATTGGCACAGACTACAGCTTCAAAAACACTCTAATCACAAACTGGAAGTGGAGGCGAACTGGTGTATATGTGGATTTTTAGGCTAGTTTTCTGCTATATTATGTCGAGAGGAGCCAGTTGAGGTGGCTCGGACATCTGATCAGGATGCCTCCTGGATGTCTCCCTGGTGGGTTTTTCCAGGCATGTCCACCTGGGACGAGACCTAAAGGGAGACCCAGGACACGTTGGAGAGACTATGTCTCTTGTCTGGCCAGGGAACGCCTTGGGATCCCCCGGAAGAGCTGGCCCAAGTAGCTGGGGAACGGGAAGTCTGGACATCTTGACTTAGGCAGTTGCCCCTGCGACCCGACACCAGATAAGCGGAAGAGAGTGGATGGATGAATTTTATATTACATATTTATTTAAATTTGGAATATATTTGGATTAAAAAGCAGCATCCATCCATTTACTGTACCCGCTTGTCCATGCAGGGTTGCGAGGGGCTGGAGACAATCTCCAGCAGTCTCCGGGCAAACAGGTCGGGTACACCCAGGATAAAGGATGCCATATCACAATTCACATCAAATTCACTGTAAATAGATGCATTATAGACAGTGAATAAACATGCTGCTCAAAGATGGAATAAATCAAAGGTTTGCAGGGATGTAAACGAGATGTGTCATGCTGATTTTCTACATTTAGTTTTCCCAAACAAATCCTTTGTTTTTAATTCCAACATCTGTGTTTTCTAGATTATTTTTCAACATAAAAAAATGAGACGTTCTTGTCCTTTTCTGCATTCTGAAGCTGGAGGGCATTGATATTTCTTTCACCGCAGTGAACCAAGTTGAAATGTCATCTTTAGCATTTTTATCCTCCTCCAGAGTGAAAAAACCAAGAGGGAAACATTTCTCCCCCCTCACCTGGAATCCTAACACACACAAGGTCGGCGGCGGGTGAGGTTTGTTAAAGCGCCGCCGAGCAGCTCGTTTCTTTTCCCTGACTCAGTGTCGCGTGTTGTCATCATTGCTAAACTCTGCTGCTGTGGCGAATAAATCTCACAAATTAGGTTTGAAGTGGCCTTTTCTCTTGCACAACTTGACAAGGTTAATTTGAGTGTGTGAACCACGCTTTTGTCCGCACTCCAGATCATTTCAGAGTCTGGATTGTCACGTGCCAATCTAGGGAGGGAGAATGTTGAGTACTCTGAATGTTGCGGCTTGCGTCTGTTGGGCGAACATAAACGGCCACCCGATGGGGGATTTGCATAATTAGGTGCTGTGAATGGAGGGTTGCATTTTAATCTTTGGTATCATCCGAGCAGCAGGCTTTTACCCGCTCCCTGACAGCGTCTCCCATCTCCTCCTTCCTCCTCAGGTACCTACTTCACACACGAAGCCAAAGGAGCAGATGATGCGGCGGACGCAGACACAGCCATCATTAACGCCGAGGGCGGCCACACCAACTCCGACGAGAAGAAGGAGTACTACATCTAATCAAAACGGGACCCTTCACTCCAGCGCCCACACCCCTGTCACCTCGGGACGTTGGAGCGGTTTTTTGGGGGAGGGGTTTGATGGCGAGCTTTTAGCGAGAGCGGAGGGGTCGAGAGGTCAATGGCGAGGTTTTTAAAGAAAGGCCTGGTTTTAAGCCGTTGTTTAGTCTAGTCTGCAGATGTAGATGGAATGTTTTGTGTGTTTAAAATATAAAACAATGAAAAAAGGATAAATAAAAATCAGTTTTTCAGTAAAGCAAGTCGAGGCAGGGTTGGGGTGGGTGGGAGGGAGGGTGCACCAGACGTTGCCAGTAATCACTGTAGAGAGCTTCACCATTAAACACCTCCCTAACTGCTGGTACGGATTTTATTTAGCTCCACCATTTGCAGAAAATTCTGTGCCTTGTTCTGAATTTTTTGTTTTGTTGTGTTCTCTCCACACTTTGCATCTGTGTTGATTGCCATTTGCATAACCTCATTGCACCCCCTTTAGTTTTTCTCTCCCCCCTTGCATTTTCTCTCTTCCACTCGTTATTATTATCAGAGCGCTGTTGGCTTTTGTATGAGGGTAAAATTACACAGCCACTTTATTCATTCCTCTAAATGTGTCTGCACACACACATCCTCTCCTGCATAACAAAAACTCTTTCCAGTATACTGTGATTTTTGTCTCAAGCCATTTTCTTTTCTTTTGTCCCACAAATTCAAAACAAAAACAAAGATGCATGGATTGCTTCGTTGTACAAAAGGACATAAATGACCCCCGGGTTTGTTGTATTGGACTCTCCTCCACCAACCGCCCCAAAAACTAACAAAAAGGAGAATAAGGAAAGATTTTCCCCGTTTTATCAGGCCAACTTTGTTTTTAAATACATTTTTAGCCCAATTAGTTTCCACCTCAGCTTAGAAATACATAAATTTTATTATTTTGCATTTGCAGCATCATTTGTCTCCTATTTGTGTGATTGGAAGGCCTGTATCCACCAGCTTTCATTACGTTCTAATGATGAGTTCTGGTTTATTTGCTTCCCCTCTCAAACTAGAGTTTTATTTTCCCGAACAACGAGAAAATGAGAAAATGTAAATTGGTTTGTATCTGTTTTTTAGGCCTCAGTATTGTAATTATGTTGGGCAAAAAACCCAAATAAAATTTGGTTTTATTATTGGCCAGGAGACGCCGGTGTAGTGTAAATAACTTTAAAGGAGTAGACAGAGCCTTAACTGATTTTAAATTGAAACACGTTCGAGTTTACGTTCAGTTTGAGCTCCACCAAACGTCTGAACTACGAAGGTCCTTCCATCTGTGGGTTCATCCAATCTCATCAACACAAAATGTAAATCAAGCCAGTGGAACCACAACTGTAATGTACACTTATCTGTCAGTGCGCCCCAGGGCAGCTGTGGCTACATCGTAGCGCATCACCACCAGTGTGTGAATGTGTGTGTGTGTGAATGGATGAATGATACGCTGTAGTGTAAAGCGCTTTGGAGTCCTTACTCTGAGAGGCGCTATACAAGTGCGGCTCATTTATCATTTAATCCTTACTCAGAAATATTTTTTACAACTTACTAGAACTACAGTTTGAGTACTTTCAGTGGGTTTTACTGTATCACGCTCATTGTGAGTCAACCTTGTAGAACAGATAGATTTCGAGGAAGGAAATGAGAGACGGACCATCTCGATATAAATAGTTTTGCATCATTGCAGCTGCTTGTGAATGCTTAAATATCTCACATTTTGCATGTCTGTATGTGCTTGAATCCATTTTCTTTCTTTTTTCTGTTGAGCTTCAGGAATCAGCAGCCAGAAACTGAACCAGAGTCAGTTTTCTTGTGCCAGCTGGGGCATGCCGTGTGAGCCAAAAGTCTGTCTTTGCTTGTAATTTAACACACTAGACATGTTGTGCTCCATGTTGTTTATCCATGGTTTCTGCATTACAGCCCTGGCTTTTTAACAGTGTGGAGCTGCTGGGGGCATTGTTTGTGATTATTATGTGTTCACACAGCAAGCAACACGCTTAATGAGTCCGTTCAGTCTTGACTAAGGTGGAGGATCAGATGCCTAGTGGGCATTATCCAAGTTTGAAAGACAACAAAAGTGAGAATTATTTGTTTGGTTTCTCAGATGTTGCAGATTTTATCTACACAAATGGAATAAATATATTTCTCCATTCCCTATGGCTGAAGAAAAATGTGGTACCAAAAACAAACAACATACAATTTTTTTACTTCTGTTGCTTCAAAATTAAAAGCATGTTTTAGTTGGTTTAGTCACATCGTCTCAGCTTACTATAGAGCGCCTAAGTCACGCCCGTCTACGTCCGGACCACAGGTCCACGGAAGAACGAAAAAAATGAGTGCAAGTCAATGGGGCTAATTCTAATTCTGCTTGTTATGTGCCACGGATTTCACACATGATGTCCGTGAATTTTAAAGACACATTTTGATACCAAGAACGCGCTTACTTTCAAACAGAGGGAAACAAGTCCAGGACTACAAATGTGCATCACCAAAGTGACATCACCGAACCCGACACGGAGAAAAACAGAGGGGAAAGGGCTGTAAGTTCAGCAAACTTCAAATCTTTCCTTCAGGAGGAAAGAACCACCATGAATCTGGCCATGTGGTAAGTAGCAGCTACGCAAGTGTAGTGGAGGTTATGTGGTGATGTCATTTATGCGACGTACTGACGTCCGATTTGTAGTCATGCTAATTACGAACTTTTACAAGCTGATAAATCTCAAAGTACATGACTGGCATGGTCGAAACACACCTTTCATTTAAATTGCAGTACAACTACTTGGTGATCCTGGGCGTAAGGCAAACCAGATTACAACAAAGCTCTTGTAGCCACATTGACTTGCATTCATTTTTTTTTTTTCGTTCTTCTGGGGACCTATGAGCCAACCGGAAGGGGAGGAGAATTAGGCTCCCTATCGTTAAAACCATCATTGTTCCCTGATATGATTGAATTTTATATTGAAGATTAGCAGCCACATCCTGTACTTGTTTGCATCGATACACAAATGGTTAATTTACCTAAACTGCTGATATATTTAGTAATGCTTATTAACTTATTTTCTTGAACCAAAATCGATTGGAGTATTCTCATTTTTTGTATCCTTGCGCTACATCGTGTACCCTGTTGCGCTGTAAATATAACTACTGATTTTGTTATTTTTATTTTTATGGTATTTCCTCATTACAAACTAATATAGCACATATCCACTGACCAAACTTGGCCTGAACACAATGTTTAGATGCTCATGTTGCTTGCTGTGTCTCCTCTCATTTTCAGATTTTTTAGCATTTCATGTAATTTCCTTACCGTGAAGCGCAGATTACAACCTGTGTGATAGCTTTAATAAATCATGGTCATGCATGAAGACCGCATTTGGACTTTTCCCATTTTAAGAATTTGACGTTGACGGTGGTCTAGAAGCATTAGAAGATGTCCGTAGAAAACATTCTACAAAATTTTGTGCATTTAAAAGTCACGTTCCAGAAAACGTTAGTCAAGCCGTAGCTAAGCTTCTGATTTAGCTTTTTTTTTTCTCACTGGATGTGGCAGATGTATATAGAAGTTACATGAGAGGCTGCCGAGACAACCCTCTCTCCGTGTGTTTCCTCTGTTAAAACTTGAGCTCATTTGTCACAAACGACCACTTTGTTAACACTGTATGCTGATGACACTGTTTTGTGTTTGTGTTAAATGGATGGGTGGGGTAGGCCAGGGCACTGATTAGGTTAGATGTTTCACGTCTGGTGTCTGATTAAATAAAACAAACTGATAACCGAATTGTTATTGTTGCTTTATGGATCACAGAGCAGATGTGACCTCATCTGTTAGGCTGCAACTTTGTGATTAGTATTTCACAGCAAGCACTACTTTGCTTCCACGACAAATGGCAGCTTCCATTTAAATCAGACTTCTAAAGACGTACCTGTCATTAAGGGAACAGAACTGAATAATGTCTCCTCCCTTAAGGATGACACATTCTTATTTAATTTAGTGATATTGATTATTGTGTCTTTTCCAGATGGTTTTTGTTTTCTAAAAGCTCCAAAAATTACAAATGAGAGCAAAGCAGCATATACGTTTAATTAGATTGCGTAAAAGAAAGAGGCATTAGATTTAAGAGTAGTTTTATTTTGTAAAGATTCTTGGTAAAATCTTTACAAAAATGCACCATGCACATGTTCCCACTGAGGTAGTCTTCTCCATACTCCTTTCCTTTGAAAATGTCCTGTCTCAGGTTCGTGTGTTGCTGATCGATGTGACTGCATCTCAGGTAGAATGCAAAGTTTAGGCCCCACCTGTCAGACATCAAAGCATGTATAATGCATTCATCAAGGCGACAAGTGCTACACGCTCCTTTAGGTCCAGAATTGGTGAGATATTTTGCATATATGTTGTACATGTTTTATGTATTTTTCTTAATATTTGGTGCACTGTAAAGATGTGTTTAAGTATTGCTTTTTGTTGACATATATCAGAAGTATACGTTTAATGGGAATGAAGCAGGATCAGAAACGTGTCGTGGCTGTAACTACCGTCACTTTGAATGCTCCACCGCCTTTTGAAGCTCCTTTGATTTCCAAAAAAGGTTTGATTGTTTCGCCAAGTTCTTGTTTTCAGATTGTTCCTTTTGTCTCTCTGCTGTACTTGAGAAATGTAACGTGTATTAATGGAGAAAAGGAGTTCCACATTTCCATACACATTTTGTATTGGTTCATAAATAGACATTTTTACAAAACAATGAAGAGTTCTTGTCTTAATAAAAAGAGAAAAAATATTAATGTCCAAAATAATGTGCTGGATTTATTTTGGTTGGTTAATTTTAGATATTTTTGATGCACATTTTCTAACTGAAGCTGGAATTTGGTGTTAAAAGTATAAAACACTCATTTAATCGATACATTTGTGGTCTCTAGTAGGAATGAATGCCTTGTAAGTGTTACTCTGGGGGGGGGGTTACACCATTCTCAGGAACAGGAAGTGAGCCAGACCCGAGCTGAGCTTCAGATGACAGGATTTGGAGACTTATTTCCTGATATTTGGACATCTCACCTCTGACTGGCTAACAGCATTGCGACTCTACCACTGACTCTGTTCGCTCTGCGATGTTTGTTTTATGTTTACAAATAGCACACCTCGAAGAGTTCTGCTGTGTGTGAAGTTGCTAATTCTAATGGTTAGCTTCTACTAGCTGACACGTTCTCTGCTGTTTCCTGGACGCTAAACCAACAATAGATTTCCCCGTCATGAGTCAAGATGGGTGAGTCCATGAATGTTAAGTGACAGTGTGACGTAGATCTGTCAGGTTTTTCTAATCCTAGAGTTTCACCGTCTGTTTTCTATCAGAAGCTAAAGCAGGACATGGGCATAGGCTATTTTCCAGAGGTGAAAAGTAATAAATTACATTTATTCACGTTACTGAGTAGCTTCTTTGCGCATTTATCCTTATCAAGTCTTTTTTTAAATCTGTACTTTTACTTGAGTGTTTTTTCTAAAGAAGTTTTCAACATTTTCAATCATATCCATCACTGAGTAAAAAATTATAGGCTTGATAAATTTAAATATAGCCCTTTGCAGCATCGGAATAGAAATAGAGACACCTCCTCGAGCACCGCGTCTCAGCCGTGGCGTATATGGGTGTGCACTTTTCATAACAAGGACATTAAGCTCAGAAGTTGCTTCTTGATGTCACAGATATGTGATGATTTAACCTGTTTCTTCATTTTACTCAAGAATAAGAGATTAAATTATTACAAAAGCAGTTCAGTGAAGTTAAACTAGTAATTCAATGATTCTAAAGGGCTGCAGTGTGTGTGTGTGAGTGTTAGGGTGGTCTGCATGCGGCAGTGTGGTTTCATCAAATCCATCTTATTTCTTGGTTGAAATGATGGCTCATGAAAATAACTTATATTTCATAACTAATGATTTCTCAATAGTGTCCATGATCATGTTTGATCATAAATGGGGCCGATCTTTGGTCTGGGAGGTGTAACACAGCATGATACAAGCCAACATGTTAGAAGTGTTACAAGAGGAGATCCATGCATGAATAAACATTTAAAGTTCATGTTTGGACACTAACCTTCACAGTCTGGAGACTCAGGCTGTGTGGTGAGGAGACACAGTTAGTCCTAGTACCACCTGGCGCC